ACTTGCCTAGTTTCCAACAGGCCTCACAACCTCTGGGGATGCCTGCCATCGATGTGGGAGAAATGTCAGGAGAGAATGCTTCTGAGAAAGCCCACTTGGCTAGTTTCCAACAGGCCTCACAACCTCTGAGGATGCCTGCCATCGATGTGGGAGAAATGTCAGGAGAGAATGCTCCTGAAAAAAGCCCACTTGGCTAGTTTCCAACAGGCCTCACAACCTCTGAGGATGCCTGCTATAGATGTGGACGAAATGTCAGGAGAAAATGCTTCTGGAAGAGCCCAGAAAACTCACAACAACCCTGCGTTGACTGTGTTTTGGGGAGTGTCACCATGACTCCCATCCCACTCACTTTTAGAGCGGGAAACGGCAACAACACGAAGCCTTTTAGCCTTTTCGACGTGCTGAGCGCATTATGCGCGGTGCACATTATGCGCTTGTTAGTGTTTATGGGCTCAGCGTTTCTTTTGTCGATTTGGCTGTGAAGGATGAACATGGCTGCCTGTCGGGAATTTTATGCGCTAATTTAATTGCGTTGAACGACTCCCATCTATCTTAACGTGCTTAGCTTGAGCAGGGACTCCGGACTGAGTGTGGCGAGGGACGCGGACCCCAAAGTGATGTGGCGAATGCATTGGGGGGGGGGGAGCCTTGGCAAAAGCAGGGTGGGCTGAGTGGGTGGCGCGCATGCATCGCCTCCCTCCTTCCCTTTCCTCTTGTTGGCATTCACGGCCTCTGCAAGTGACGGATGCGGGGGCATCTTTGGTGTCGTTGCCATGGGAATGGCACAGCCGCGTCTCCGCTGGTGGCTGGAGACGGTGGCCCACCCAGCGGGACCGCTCACCCTCCCTCTTCTTCTTCTTCCTCCTCTTGGCAGCCCCTTCCTCTCCATTTCCCCATCTTTCCCTTGCATTGTGCGCCTTCGGAAACACTACTTGCTGTCGCTGCTGCCATGCGGCTTCCTTCCCTTTGTCTTTGGCATCAATCACGATGCAAAAAAAATAAAGTTAATGGCAAAGGCGCAGCCCACACAGAGCGGAGGAAGAGCAAGCCGTGGTGGCAAGTGGCGCTCCTTCTTCTTCGCAGAGCACTAGGGAGACGGGGCTGTGACAGTCGGGCTTTGTGTTGAGTGCGCAAAGAGAGAGAGAGGAAGGCAGTGGGAAGGCTCCCCACGGAGAAGCCCGCCTGCCTGTCTTGGCACAATGGAAAGGTATTGATGGCGGATCACCTGGCAA